ATACATATCTGTAGAATTAGTTGCGATTATCTTTATATACCTTCGTTGTCGCAGAATCTCCCGGTTAATCCTCTTGTGCAAAGACATCTGTAACTTTGGCCTTCACTTCTGCACGTTCCCCCATGTTTACATCCATGGCCTTTACAGTGCCCTGTGAAAACAAAGTGAATCTTTAGTAGAAGATCAACTTACGTACAATTGACTGATCCTTACCATTTATACTAAAACAAAGGTGCTAATTATCTTATGGGAAGCCGATCCCTATTCAAATGGAAGAATCTAATAGGTTTCCTAAGTGTCCCAGTTCCTACAGTTCAACCACAGGGAGCCCAACTTAGATTAAAGAGGATGGTGGAAATAAAATATAATTATTATTTTAAAGGAGAAAAAAAGGCGCGCGAAAAAAGTTCTAGTGCAATTTTTATCAATTTCTTTATTCTATCGTATTGCGGAGGACATTATCTGGACCTCGAATTCAAAAAGTAATACTTTAATTTTTCCGATTTTATTTTCACCATTCACTTATATCTAAATTGGGCTTCCTGTGGTTTAACACCAGTCCTTTTTTGAGTTCCAAATTACCGCTGTGTTCCGACTCATTTACTCAGAATTAGCCCCATTTCAAAATATTCACAAATACCAACGGTAAAGTGAAGAATGCAGAAATCAAACAAGACAAAAACTTTGAAATTTCCACGGACTTACTGAAACACGTGAATATTCTACCCACAATCGAGACTCGAGTATCATTTCTCAGGCAATACAATAATCATATTATTTATGGAGTTCATTTAGTCCGGGTAAAGGAATGTTGATCAATTTATTTTTTGTGCTTCTTTGAAGAAACGTAAAAGAAATTGACCAGATGTCCCTCTATCCAAATGTCACGCTCGTTCGKTCACTTAAATAAAACTAGAACCTGTTATCTTGACATAAAATGTCCTTTGTTGTCTTCCTCCAATCCCATTGGACACGATACAAGAGTAATTTCCTGACAAAGACTCCAAAGCTTGAAAAGCGTATGTCTCTCCATGTGCACTTTGAATCTGTTGGTCATTTCTGGTCCAGTTAATACTGGGTTTTGGTACACCAGACACCATACAGCTAAGAATGATCTGGTCGTTTTCGTCACGTGTTACATTTAGACTTGAGTGAGATGTGATGGTTGCTGGATCTAAGAAAACGAGATAGCCATTTTAGCTGGACAAGTATTCATAAGAAGCTCCCAGAATAGACCCCTTGCAGCACGTCGGAATGCAGCTCAACTTGGAGGGCATAACAATAGGTTTCCCATTCTCAGGAGATTGAAATCATTTTGTTTCTATTTATAACGTTTAGTACCACGCTGTACACTTTCATTATTTCTAAAACTTAATAAATGAAGTTTTTCACTTCAGGCACAGCAATTTAAGATTGTATTTTATATATTATTTGTTATACCATTATGTATCAGTTTTCCCGTTAACATTCCATCAATCATTCATTCAGTCAATCATTCATTCAGTCAATCATTCCTTCCTTCCTTCCTTCCTTCCTTCCTTCCTTCCTTCCTTCATGAAGCTAAATTGCTTCATTATGAATTCTTTTAATAAAATACTGCAGATTAAAATATCAAAATTACTTACATTTCACGGTGATATGGGCGAGTTTTGTTTTCGCATCACACTCATTTCCATTGTGAGCTTTACATACATATGATCCTGTATCATTACGGCCAGCAGATGTTATAGAATGGGTTCTCGTACTCGATAACTGACCACCGCCAACTTTGTGCCAAGACACATTCAATTGCCTACTAAAGTCGGTGACGTTACAGACAAGAGTCAAGGTATTTCCCTCCACAACCTCTTGACTTGGAGTAATGTAATCAATAACAGGCGCAGCTAAAAATTGACGGAAGCAAAAAAAAAGCAAATTTAAATCAAACTAATGAATGTGGCTATGAATTTGTTCCGACTATCCTATGTCTATATTCCATTAGTTTCATTATTCATGACTTGCATTTTATTATTCTATTAAATTAAAAATACAACAAGTTTATTGAAGAGGTAACACTGAAATTAAATGGGAGAAGGTTAAAAAAATATAGTTTCTCTTTTTCTCGTCTTTTTTCACTTTTTATGGCATTTCACTGCTTTTTCTGTTACTTTTCTCGTTTTCTTTCCTTTTATAACTTTAATTTTCTTTTCTTTTTCTTCTCTCGTTTAATTCCTTTCCTTTAACTTCCTTTCTGTCATTTTTTTCTCATTTCTTAATTTTTTTTTTAATTCTTTCCTTTTATAACTTACATTTTTATTTCTTTTGAGTTACTTTATCATTTAATACCTTTTCTTTCACTTCATTTCCCTTCTCTTCACATCTAATCTAATCTCATCTCTTCCTTATATTTTCCTCTTTGATTTTATCCTCGCCATTGTCCAATTATACAAAACAGTATGTCAGTACCTTTTACAATAACAGTGACATTGGCCATAGTACCATTACCAGCGCTGTTTTCAGGTTGACACTTGTAAACGTTGTTCCCACTGGCACTCGTGGAAAATTTGTATGTATTAGTACTTTGGGCTTTGATTAACACATTATTTCGATAGAACCTGTAGGTTGTAGGATCAGGCTTTCCACTGGTGTGGCACGTCAGAGTCAATTCATCGCTAACACAGGCTCTAGCTTTAGAAGCCGTCAAACTAGTGTTCTCTGGTTTATCTATAAAATAAAGTAAATCAGGTTAACTTCAAGTTTTAAATCAAACACTGCCACTCTATGTATTGACAAATACATGCCACCTACCACCACTAATATATCGTAGTAATTCACGCCAAAACAAAACTATAAACTATAGTGATTAATAATATAATGCCATAAGTTATTTTAAGTTAGATGATACTTCGATAATAACATTAGGTCTTTTTTACGACTATTATATAAAACAGTATTCAAAAATGAAAGTTTATGCAAAAGTTTCTATAGTATTTGAAATAAATTGAAATATTTTCAAGAAGTGCTCGTGGAGTAAATCATGTGCTGTCCTATATCTTACGAAATTGCTCATAACATTGTAAGCTATTGCTATTTGTTTCTTATTAATTCTATTAATATCAATAAATTATTTTATAGGTGCGTCATTTCTATCATGACTAAAAATGTGATAAAGCATCTGGAAATCAAGAAGTTAAATAGTTTTTGTTTTATGTGTGCATCGGAACTGGAGATCGTTTTTCATTCATTGAGGAACAATTTAAGAGTGTGTTGAGGGTACATTGAGTATAGAAAGTGATCGAAATCCTGAAATATGCCGACATTATTATTGAATAGAGACACTCGTGACAAGAACAACAAAATGTAGATCCACGGTAGATTCCTTTACGCGCATGCGTGATGTGAGTTGCCTCAAAGTAAGCTTGAGTAAGTCAGCATAAAAATGTATTAGTCATGAGACACTTGTTGAAAACACTGAAAGGCAGACTCCCGATAGAATAACAATTACAAAATGCCGATCGAACATTGACTATCCCTCGTTAGTCAGTCTGACTAGCAATTCGAAAATAATCTTGAAATAGCTCATTTCGATTGTAGTCCATCGTCAGTTTTTCTCCAGTGAGGAAGAATTCCGTCCGCTGCGAAGATACTTACAGTTGACAGTAGCAGTCGTTGTTTTAGAAACAACATGACACTCGTTCCCGTTATTAACTGTACATCTGTAAACTCCCTCGTCATTTCGGGAAGCAAAAGGCACAGTTAGAATAGTAGTTTCAGTAGTGCCTTCTTTTTTGGGTCTTCCGTCACTTTTGCTCAAGGTTACGTTCAATGGAGCGCTACCAGAAGCCTGGCAAACAATCGTCAAATGAGATCTTTCCTTCACTGTTTGATGGGGTGTTAAAATCGTTATGGTAGGTTGAGCTGAAAATACAAAGAAGATTATGGAAATGTCTTCGTTTCTTTACTTCACAGAAAAATAATTGATCAAAAATTTAGTGTTCTTTATCTATTTATTTATTTTTTCTTTCTTAAAAAATATCAAATGTGAATGATATTAAAAATCAAAATCAAAACTATTTGCTGAATTATCAAGGAAAGACTGCTGCATTTTATACCTTTTGTGACTATGGATACGTTAGCGCTCATTCCGATTCCAACAGCGTTTCTCGGTCTACAGGTGATTAAATTTGCGCCTGCTTGGACCACGTTAAACTGATAAAAATCCGAAGTACTAGTATGCACATGCTGACCGTTAAGAAAAAACGAGTAATCGATTACAGGAGGATTAGCATCTGAAATGCATTTCACCGAAACGCGATCGTTAACACAGGTATTGGTGGTATTTGAGGTGATGTTTGTTTGGTGCGGCTTATCTGGAATGTAAAAAGCAACTGGAGTTAGCTAATCTCAGGTTTTTTATTTGTGCAATATACAGAGGTTGAGAATTATAAGGCTATCCAAATACTCATTCATACTACTCACATGTAACGTTCACGTAAATTGTTTTGTTAAGCACACTTCCCGAAACCCCATTGTCTACTGCACATTGGTATGTTCCTGTATCGCCTTTTCCTAAGCTGCCTCCAAAATCATGTGTAAGTTGGTGTCCGTTGGAATGAATGAAGAGAACWCCTTCCTTTTTTGACCATGTGATGTTTGGAGACGGACAACCAGTGGCTGTGCAGTTTAGTACTAAGGATGATCCTTCTTCCACTGTGATGCTGCTTGTACTTGGAACAACGGACATTGCTGAAGGCAATTGCACAGTGACATTTCTGTATACCTTTGTACCTGTGCCTGCTTGGTTTTTCACAACACATGAAAACCTTTCTTCATCGCATCCTTGTACACTTGATATTACTAGACTCTCTGTGCAGGAAGTGCTCGATTTATTGGCTAGGAGTAGGTTTCCTTGATAGWACAWTATCGTACATTGATTTGGTTTTGCAGAAGACTGACATGTMAGAYTCACTGCTTCTCCAACCATCAGTWTGCTGCTGCTTTTGTTTATTGACAGCTKTATGTTTTCTGGTGGATCTAKAGAWTCGATAAAATGATAGTAGATASYATCAAGTAACMATTGMAGGAAAAAACARGTATATTTTCTAGCTGACAATACATGATTCTAAGAAGATATTTCAATAAGATCAGCATGAAAATGAAATGTTAGTTAAAATGCTTTAACAATAAGTAGGAAATTTACTGTTCACCTCATTTTTGTAGTTAGTCCTTTTTTATCAATATGCTTTTTTCAATTTAAAATTGACTCTGTTTGATTAATTCAACATTTTATTAATGTTTTTCAGCATTTAGATATATGAGTTCTTTGAGATATTATTACATTATTAATATTATTTATGCTGAAGATAAAACCCACCTTGCTGTCGTTCGCAAAGATGTTATACACCAATCAAAGAAAAGAAGAACATTATTTTCATGTGTTGTTTACTCTTTCTTCGGTATCTATCTACTTTGATGTCATAAAGCAAAAAGAAGCAATTTATCGACTTCTTTAACAAAGAGTTTATGAGCGTTATTCAGTTAATCATTTAATAAATTTTAAAGTTATTAGAAGCTGAGTATTTTTTTTATTATATAATTACCAATGAAATATCTATTTTTCTCTATTTCGAAAAATTGATATCTTCACACGTGAAAATAACATGTTATTTCCACGTGTGAAGATAACACCATTGTGATAGCTATTCAAAAATACACGGAAAGAATTGCCTGAAAAAGCCAAACCATACTTCATCGATAATTATATAATAAACAGAACATAACATGGCCGCTCAATCGTGAGAGATCTTTTCAACACTCGAAGATAATTCGTATCTCCGCGCGCCCATGTAATATCCTCTATTTTTTGTCAAACTGAACAAAAAGGGTTACTGGATGCAGTTCAATTGGTTGGTTATCTTGTGCAGTATTTGAAATGTGAACAATAAGAAAGTACGTAAGATMGTATRCATRGCTTTATATAAGAMCTAATATAAWRATTTTAAAAAGTTAAACTGAGATTTTAAGTAATGATGTGTTTTCTTTTACTTATATTTATTATACAGCAGTGTTAGAACTTATAGAATGAGCAGATTTAAGTCAAGAATTAAAGAATTCTTGGGCGGTCATTGAATAAAAAATTTTTTTGTAACTAGAAAAATAAAGTTTATGTACAGTTCAGTTATTTAGATATAAGTGCTCCTATTTAAATGCAAAATAAGAAAGAAATAAAAAGATTATGTAAACATATCTATGCCGTAAAGCTTACACGTGACAGTGATGGCTGATCGAGCAGTTGCTGCAGGACACTCATTTCCATTGTGTGCTGTACATTGGTACGTAGCCTCTTCTCCACGTGCAATACTTGTGAAGGTGTAACTAGAACTTTCAGGATATGATGGACCACCAACTTTACTCCAGGTCACGTTCATTGGATCACTACCCGTTACATTACACATAAGAACCACTCTGTCTCCTTCTACTACAGTCTTGTCTGGTGTTGAAAACGTTATCTGTGGAGGAGCTGAAAAATATAAAAAAAAGTAGAAAGAACACGTCAATAAAATATAATTTGGGGAATGCAACAATGCTTTAT